TGTGCGGCCACGCCGTCCTGGCCCTCGGCCGCTTCGCCCTCGACTACGGGCTGGTGGCAGAGCCCAGCTGCCCCGAGACCCCCGTGCGCCTGCGCTGTCCCTGTGGGCCCGTCACCGCCTTCGTGCCCTGGGATGGTCGCTGCAGTGGAAACCCCGTCCGCTTCCACAGCGTGCCCGCCTTCGCTGTCACCACCGGTGGGGACCGAGCCTGCTGCACTGGTGTTAGGGGAGGGGTTGGTGGCCTGGGTAAGGGGTGTCTGGCAAATCCCTCCCCAATTCCGATGTCCCCCAGAGGCAGGATGATGCTGTCAGGGATGGTGTAAGATGTCACATGCCGCTCAGGCATGGGAGCACTTGCGTTGTTGTCCCCATTCCCCCCTTGCATGCAGCCGGATTCACTTGCTTGGCGTGTGAGCCCACTGCTCAGCATGGTTTCCCCTCATCACCACCCTCCCTTTCTCTGCCCAGACTTGGCCATCAACGTCCCTGGTCACGGGAAGGTGGTGGTCGACATCGGTTACGGTGGCACTTTCTATGCCTTTCTGAGCGCTGAGCAGCTGGGCCTTGATGTGTGCTCTTCGAAGACCAGAGACCTTGTCAATGCGGCAAGTGTGGTGACAGAAGCGGTGAAGAAACAGGTATGGTGGAGCACTGCGGTACCCCAGCATGTTCCCTTTGGGGTGACTGCAACAGACCAAGGCCCTTTATTCCCCCAAGGTGCTCAGGATGGGAGGGAGTCCCATCCTTCCAGCCCCCAGTGAATTTCAGAGTCCTCCTCCAGCCTGACAAGGATGTGAGAAGGATCTCGCTTTGCTGCTGCTGTGTCCGTCTCTGTTACTGGGGAAGCAGAGGTGGAAACGGAGCGGTGTGGCCTTGTCCCCTCCCTCTGGTCCCCTGAGGAAGCTGTACTGCTGGCTGCGCAGCTGCTGCGTGGGTTGGTGAACATGTCTGTGCTGTTCCCAGTTCAAGCTTCATCACCCTGAAAGTGAAGACCTGGCTTTCCTTTACGGCACCATACTGACAGACGGGAAAGATGCCTTCAGTGAGGAGCCCACCACCAACATCTGTGTGTTTGCAGATGAGCAGGTACAGAAACGGGCTCTCCTCCTGCACACAAAGCACCGCCTTTTCCCCTTCTTACATCCACTGCAGAGACGAGGGACAGTTCTGGGGCTTCTTGGTTTGGGCAGTGGTGATACAGTGATGTCTCTGAAGAGCTGGGTGTCACTTAACACATCTTAGATGGTGGCATTTTAAAAACGTTCATACTCATGTCCCATAGGTTGGAATTTCCCAGGAGTTCAAGGGCTGAGGTGGGATCCCAACATAGTCCATGTCCTTAAAATCCTAAACTAGGGGACAGTTGCTGGGGATGAACAGAGCAAGAGAGAAAACAGGGGCTGTAAACTCCTGTCCTTGTCTGCAGTGGATAAAGTATCACATAAATAGCAGGGCAAGTTTTGGTTGGACTTCCCAGCAGTGAGGAGTGTGGAGCATTGGGACGGATCACATTGGAGGCTCAGAAGCTGGCCAACGCTGTGTTTTTGGAGGTTTTAAAAACCAGGCTGGCCAGCAGCTCTCTCAGCTTAAGGAGAGCTGATCCTACCTTGACCCGTGAGAATGGGGAAGGTGGCCTCTGCCCCTCTCAGTCCCTTTGGTATGATGCTGGTAGGCTTTCAGGTGTACCCTAAATAGCCTCAGTATTTATTAGATCACTCATACCTACTAGTTTGCCAAAGCTGACTATGATCCAAAAGTACCCCAAACCAGCTTGTGTTTCGTTCTCATTTGTGATCTATCCGTATGCTGTACGAACCCCTGGGCTACAGGGGTTTCCCCCAAGCGCAGTATAAAGGTGGTAGAGAGAACTGAGGGGAGCAATATCGTTTTCTCTTAAAATCCAAACTACTAGAGCTGGTTCATCTTCTCTTCTGAATGTAGGTCGACCGAAGTCCGACAGGTTCCGGAGTGACAGCTCGCATCGCCTTGCAGTACCACAAGGGACTCATCCAGCTGGATCAGACCAGAACCTTTCGGAGCAGTACCACAGGGTCCTTGTTCACCGGGAAGGCAGTGAAGGCAAGTGACGTGTGCTGGATTTTCCCTCTGTCTTGAGGACTGGTGGAAAAGTGCTGTTGCCTTCATTCAGTGAAGCAGAAAAGCCTTTCTGTGCCTGGGGAAGGGTGTATGGAAGGAGGGAGGTGCCTGGGGGTCTTGCCTTCCCACAAGCTTCAAGCTTCAAGATTTTTTATTAGAGAAGCAAGGTAAGAGGAAGATGTTCTGTTGCATTGCTTCCCTGTAAATCCTCTCTCAGCCATCAGGAAACAACTGAAGTGAGAAATATCTTCAATGCTGATGTAGATAAATCAGTCTGGTCCGCTCTCAGTGGTAGCTGAGGGTGGATTCCTGATTTAGTTACCTCTTCCTCTGCCCCTCTACTCCACTCTCATGAGACCCCCCCCTGCAGTGCTGCATCCAGCTCTGGGGTCCTCAGCACAGGACAGACATGGACCTGTTGGAGCGGGGCCAGAGGAGGCCACGAAAATGCTCAGAGGGCTGGAGCACCTCTCCTCTGAGGACAGGCTGAGAGAGTTAGGGTTGTTCGGCCTCGAGAAGAGAAGGCTCTCGGGAGACCTTACAGCAGCTTCCAGTGCTGAAGGGGGGCTTATAAGAAAGATGGGGACAGACTTTTTAGTAGGGCCTGTAGCGACAGGACAAGGTTTTAAACCAAAAGAGGGGAGATTCAGGCGAGATATAAGGAAGACTTTTTTTACATTGTGGGTATTGAAACGCTGGCACAGGTTGCTCAGAGAGGTGGTAGATGTCCTGTCCCTGGAAACATTCAAGGTCAGGCTGGACGGGGCTCTGAGCAGCCTGATTTAGCTGAAGATGTCCCTGCTCATTGCAGGGGGGTTGGACTAGCCAACCTTTAAAGGTTACTTCTAACCCAAACTGTTCTCTGATTCTATGATTCCCTGCTCAAAGGCTGATCGTGTTGTTCTGCGCATCTGCATTTCCAGGCTCAGCCCTGGCCCCATGGCATCTCGCAGCACATGGCTGGGAAGGCTGGGACATGCCCCGGGGAGCTCTTGGTCTTTGGGTGCGAGCGGCCACCAGCTTGTTGGCCTCCTTTGAATGCTGTGGCAGGGCAGGGGCTTGCGAGCTCAGTCATGCAGGTGCAGAGCTCGTGCAGGCAAGGTTAGTCAGTAAAAGAGCTGCTGCATGCTTTGGGATGGACCTGGGCAGGGCAGAGCACTCGGCGAGGGGTGTCTCTGCATAGGTACCAGGTAGCGCTGGTGTTTCATGGGGTTGGGAGAGCAAAGAACCTCCTGTCACCTCTGTCCTGATCTTAATCCCTCTGCAGGAAGCCAAGTTTGGGGACTACAATGCTGTCATTGTGGAAGTCTCGGGAGAAGCCTTTTACACCGGTACAGCCACCTTCACTGTTGAAGAGGAGGACCCACTGAAGAATGGCTTCTTCTTCAAGTGACCCGAGCCACTGGGCAGTGGCAGAGTCTCACTGATGGTGCTGCGCTTCTCCTGCCCACGCATCTCTGTTCTCCTTCTTCTCATGGCTCATTGCAATATGCCAGAGCAACAGGAACAGCTTTTGGTGGTGTGACAGCATCTGCTGTGTTTGAAGATGACAGGCTGTGTTCTCCTGCTGTGATTAGCATATTGGGTGCAATATGATTAGCATATATGGGCTGCTCTGAGAAGCCATAATACTTTTCTTCTTTTTTTTTAATAATTTTTCACAGAAAATGGAGCTGATCTTGGAGAGCCGTCTTCCAATTTACGTGCCTTCTCTACATCTCCAAATTACTAATTTCAAAGCCAGATTCTTATTAAATGCCAGCTGAAAAGACTGCCTTTCTCCTCTTGTTTTCACTTGCAGTGCTCATTTCGAGGACTCTGCAGTGTGTCACAGCTGTTGGTTTGTATTGCCGGCTCTTCCTTGATGCCTTCCACTCAGCCCGCCGTGCTGCTCTGTCTCCTGTCCCAGCTTCTCCGATCTGCCCTGATGAGGCGTGTTCAGACACCCCCTTCCCCATTGTACTCACTGCACCCCTGCCAGAGCCCTCCTGTGTCCCGGGGCTGGATGCAGGTATTTGCCCAGAACTTCCACTGTACAGTCCCCACTGCATCGCCATGCCATGCTTCTCTGCTAAACCTCTCTTGCTTATCTTGGACCACTGGCTGCAAATACCCCATGGTTAAATTTCAGCAGTAGCAGCTGTATTCAAAAGTCTGAGCCATTATGACCTTTGATTGCTAATTTTTTACTTATTATTTTGTCTCAGCCCTCGGGCAGCTTGCAGAGCAGAGTGCAGTCAATGCGTGCTTTGCCAGGGCCCCTTAAGGGTGGGAAAAAACCCAAACCAAGCCCTGGGCTGTAGGCGAGCATTTGCAGTGGCAGAAGCAGAGCTTCAGACCACTTGTGGCCTGTGATTTCCACTGTGTCTCTGGACAAAGTGGTGTTCATTTATTGAAGCCATTCATGGGAGTGTGCCTCATTAAAATGAGACATGAAAATGAGAATGATCATCTCCCAGTAGCCTGTGCAGCAGAAGGGAGTAAGTCATACTGGAGAGCTTGGAAAAGGTTGGTATAGAAAAACATGGGACGAATTTCTGGAAGAAACAAAAATCCCCTTGTTCAGAGAGTGGCTGTGCTGCCAACAGTGGTTTTCCAGGCTGGCATCTGGGGCTCTTGCTCCCAGCTTTTGTGTATCCCCAGATAGATCCCGTACAGCCTCTGGTCCGGGGGAGCAAGAAGTGATGCACACATCCTCCATTCTTTCAGGACCAAAATCTTCTGTGTGTTCCTGGCTTCTGGGCACCTCCTCTGTGATCATCCCCCCAGCCTGGAGCTGGGGCAGCAAGTCACGACTCCCAGCACAGAAAGCTCAGAAGCTCTTCAGCCACTAATTGTCTTGCAGCCTTCATTATCTGTTCACTATCCCCATGCTGAAGGGATTTTTCATGTTGGGGCAGGCAGCTCCAGCATGGCTGAGAGCAGGGGGACAGGGTCCTGCTGCCCATGTGGGGGTCCCCAACCTGACCCCTCAGCTTGTGAGACCCCAGCCAGGAGAGCATGGAGGGTGGTCCCGGCCTCCGCTGGAGTGTCTCTGGGGGTAGCTGGCCCCTGCCCCTTCGTGATGGGCTGCAGGGCTGTGGGGGGAGAGGGGCCGTGAGGGGAGAGGGGCCGTGAGGGGAG